CCATTAAATATAACAATACAAAAAATACATTGATTTACAAATACAAAATTAAAATTATCAGTATAAAATAAAAATATAGGAGGAGAAAGAGAAGGAAGAAGAAGTTGCCCAGAAGTTGCCCTTCAAATGCATTGAATTTTTGAAGGGATTATAAGATATGATGACACTTTGGATAAAGATGCAGGGCTGAAATTGAATTAAGAAATACAAGAACAGGGAGCTGATATCTCTTGGTGGCATAAGGTGCAGATACAATTGTGATATGCTAAAGATTGTAAAGCATGGGGTTTTTATAAGGACTTAACAGTGTTTGACCAAGTGATGCTTAAATCAGATGAGAAAATAATTAAAAGATTATATGACTTCTTACTTGATAGGAAAATGGAAGATGAACAGGTTAAGGAAACTATGTTAACATGGGCACAAAATCTTAGATATAATATCGAATTAGAAAAGTGGCAAAAGCTGTGGAAGAGAAATATCAAGCAACTTTGTATAAAGAAAACTTGCATAAAATGTGTTATAGATGGTATCTGTCGCCAAATAGATTAGCTAAGGTGTTTCCAAATATGTCAAATGGATGTTGCATATGTAAACATAAATTGGGTATTTTTTATTATATGTGGTCTGGAGGAAATGTTACAAAAATCCTTAGCTTCTAAACCTAAAGTTTTTTTAAAAAATTAGGCATTATACCGGAGGACATTAGAAAATAAGAAATGTATTTGATTTTACATGTAATCATTGCGGTGAGGATTGCATTCGCTCAACACTGGAAAAGTACCACCGATGAACTGATTAAAAGATCCTGGACTGTGCAGAAATGGATAGATTGATTTTATCATTGAAGGAGAAGGAAGATACTGACTTCTAACAAACTTGGGAATCTTTTTATTATTGGCTAGAGAAACGGGACTTCGTATAGATTTAAATGTGTTTTTAAGTTATCATAAATGGAAAAAGAAGGGTGTGGGGGCTGACCCAGCAGGCTCAATGTTTTTGATGATGTTGTTTGTAGTTTTCTTTTTGTTTTTTTTTAGGATTATAATTTCTCAAACAAAACTTATTTAAAAAAACTATACCAGGCGACTTGGCTCGCTGTTCGTATACGGCATGAGAGTGGAGACAGCGGGGGGCATTGCTAGGCTTGGCCCCATAGGTATCCCCCTGAGCCCCGGGTGTATTCCAGGAGCCCTGAGATTCCACTGGTCCCAATGGACGGATTCGCAGCGCAGCCCCGCTCTAAAGGCCGCACATGGGGCGAATTTGAGGGGGCTGCCCTTGGGGAGGCGAACCCCTCCCTACGCGCAAGGCCCTGCGTGGCAGTGACGTCTAGAGGGATTTTTTTCCATCACTTTCAAACGCTGCAGGTTGGAGTGCAAATTGACGTTAAGAATTCATTTTACTGGAGGCGATGTTCCTCCTGGAAAATCTAACTTTATTCCGAACGATGTTGCTAAATGTATAGATGTAAGTGACTACACGCCGATCGGAGGCCTTCTTCCAAGCCTGGTACTTTGAGTTGACCTCAAGGCCGCGCTGTTTACGCGGGGCGCTCCGGGCCACCTCTCGTGTGAACGCGGACCGTCCCGCCCTGAGCGCGCCCTGACGCCCCGGGCCTCGCCGGAGAGGCGCGCGCGCGTGCACGTGCCGGGGGAGGACCGCCCGCGAAGCGCTCGCTTCGCGGCCTGCCGCACCGCGCAGGGACCCCAAGTGGCCCCGTTTGCAGCCGAACTGCGGGAGCGCGGGGCTCCACGAGACCTGGCCTAAGCGCAGGGCAGCGCTCCATAAGCGCGCCGAGCAAACGAGGCCTGGCCCAGCGTGCGGGGCTCGGCGCGGGGGGGCAAGGTCCGCATCGAGCTGCTATCGCCGAGCGACCGGGGCGCCGACGACCCGCGCTCCCGCCACCCCCGCCTGCGCTCCCTGCTCCATCGCGGCCACGCCAAGCGCGCAGCCAGGGGCGCAAGGAGGGGGGGCAGGAACGGGAGCGCAAGCGCCATCGCCGGCTCGGACGCGCCGGGAAGCATTATCGGTGAAGCGGCGGCACTTGGCGGGGAGGGCGCGCCTGCCCGTCCGCCCTCCCTCCCTCCGCTCGTACCTGCCAAGTGCCGAGCCCGAGGAGAGGCATCCTCGCCTTGGTGCTCAGCTCCACGAAGAAGGCGGCCATGCTCGCGGATCCTGGGCCCGGGGCAAAGGCCGCCTGATCGCCCAGCCTGGCTCCGCCCTCGCGGGAAAGCAGCGGAGGAGCGGGGGGCACCGGGGGGGGGGGCGGGCTGGCGAAGAGGGCGCCTGGCTTGGCCGCCGGAGGCTGCAGCTCCTGGGCAGCAGACGCGAACCACGCCCCCTTGCGGTGCAGGCACCAGATCTCCTCTTCCCCTCCGCTGCTCCTTGCAGCCCTCGTGGAAACCGCTGGTCGGCAGGGCCGTCTTAACAGCATTATGGGCCCCGAGCAAAGCAGTGTACTGGGGCCCCTACGACGACAACAACTACTGTTAATTTTGGAAGTTTTCCAATTTTCCAAGGGTTAACATACACAAATTAGCATGGGGCCCACAGGCAAATGCCCATCAGGCCCATGTCTTAAGACGGCCCTGCTGATTGGCACACCCAAACTCCCCAAATTGAGCCCTAATGGCAGAAGTGGGGCTTTGCCTTGCCCGCGGCATGTGAGTGGAGACCCTCCCATGCGTTCAACCCCGCTGGGTTCTGTGCATATTGCTGGTCTACAAATGCACCATTTCAGCCACTACTAAATTCACAAGAGAAGCACTTTAATCGGTTGTGTAATTTTTAAGCAGCGAGCACAATTTAGCTAACCACTGTGGCATTGCTGTTCAGCAGAGAAGATGGGAATGTTTATCAAAGTTCCCCACTTCCACGGTTTTTGTAGCTTTTTGCCTTCTGTTGGGCCATTTCTTTACATGTTTTCCATCTTTGGAAAGGGAAAATGAGACTTAAGGTGTCACAAT